TGTGTGTGTGTACATACATGCATATACACAGGGTAGGCGTCCTGGCGGAGGAGGAGCATGTGTGTGTGTGTGTGTGTGTGTGTACATACATGCATATACACAAGGTAGGCGTCCTGGTGGAGGAGGAGCATGTGTGTGTGCACATACATGCATATACACAAGGTAGGCGTCCTGGTGGAAGAGGAGCATGTGTGTGTGTACATACATACAGTCACATAAATACAGGGCATGTGTCCTGGTGGAGGAATAGGGGGAGCCACTGGGGCCCAGATTAGGACTCAGAGCCCAAGCAGGTTAAGGAGGGCGTCCCAACCGAGGGTCAGCCTGGCGTGGGGGCCACAGCCCCCTGAGGAGGGTGAAGATGGTATCTGTGCAGGTGGAATTTCCAGCAGTGTGTGGAGGACACCGTGTGGGGTGGGGGAAGGGCAATCCAGTCTGGGCAATCAGAGCCAGGTGAGGAAGGAGCCCGCAAGGGGCAGCCTGGCATGGAGCGTCAGAGCCCAAGGAGGGCAAGGAGAGTCCACACCTGGGAACAACTCGGTGCAGCTGGACAGAGCCTGAGCAGGGTGAGGAGGGCATTCAGATGGAAGGCCAGTCCTGTGAGGTGACTCAGCCCAAGAGGCGAGGAGGGGTCCATGCTGGGGGCAGACTGGCCTGGGGAGTCTGGGCAGCAAAGGTTTCCTTGTGGGAGAGACGGTAGCAGCAAAGGGAGATGAATGTAAAGAGGGAGAAAACAAGAACAAACTGGGATTGGAGTGAAATTGGAGGGATCACCGTGAGCTCTAGGCTCTCCATCCGTGTTGCTGTTGTTGGGTGCCATCGAGTTGGTTCTGACTCACAGCAACCTTCTGTACAACAGAACGAAACACTGCCCAGTCCCGTGCCATCCTCAGAATCATTGCTATACTTGAGCCTGTTGTTGCAGCCGCTGTGTCAGTCCGTCTCATTGAGGGTCTTCCTCTTTTTCACTGACTCTCTACCAAGCATGACGTCCTTCTCAAGGACTGGTTCTTCCTGAGAACATGTCCAAAGTACATGAGAAAAGTCTCACCATCCTCGCTTCCAACGAGCATTCTGGCTGTATTTCTTCCAAGACAGATTTGTTCGTTCTTCTGGCAGTCCATGGTATGTTCAGTATTCTTTGCCAACACCATAATTTAAAGACGTCAATTCTTTGGTCTTCTTTATTCATTGTCCAGCTTTCACATGCATATGAGGTGATTGAAAACACCATAGCTTGGGT